AATTCAAAATCAGCGTCTTTACAAAGAGCCATATCGGCATACATTCATCAATGTATGCTGATACGTGAAAATGAAATAAGAAAATTAACTAATACATAGTATATATATATACCTATAACATATTTGGAATCAAACACTCATGTACTATTAGTATAAGGTGCCAAATAAGATTGTATTGTATTGTATCATAGCGGAGATTTTCATTGTAAGTTTCAACACAGATTCCCTGCTAGCAGAGTCTCTCTTCTCTTTCTCTCCCTTAATTCAGGCGGGGAGAAAGGAGACTCTGCCGATGTAGAGCGTTTCCTTTGATACACCACTGTCCATGATCGTGGACGAACAAAACCAGTTTTAAAACCGGTTTTTAACCGATTACATGTAGTGCGCATGAGCAAATGTAACACACCGTTGCGCCAGACATTGTTTGACGAGCACGGCTGTCAAAATCATGACAGCCTTGCTAAGGGTTACGCCACGCATGCGCGACAGAAATACCGTCCTACATCAGCAGAGTCTATTTTTCTCTCTCAACCAAAGCAAAAGGAAAATAGCCTCTGCTAGCAGGGAACCCCACAGATCGATCTATTGCTCTTTATTTTGTAATGGTGGCCCAATATTCATGTTACCTTGTCGTAAAAACCAAGGAAAAACGAAAAGGGTGCGATTGACTTTAATTAATAATTGAAAAATATAACTACTTATTATACAATTAAATCAAAAGTGAATATACCGGAAGTTTACAATCAAGTGCTTTCATCGATGAAACATACGAAATCATTTCATTCAAGAACCAATATGATTTATATCTTATCCAACTGAGTTCTTCTTGATATAAATATATAGGAAATAGTTTCATTCCAAAACCAATCTGAATTATATCTTATTTAACTGAGTTCTTCTTGAAGCTGTTGTGCCTATATTTCTGCTAAAATTAGTTCGCACCTCAAGATCGATTGTTATCTATTTGATTAAATGGTTGGCATACAATTAAAACTCAGACACGTACGAATAAAAACAAACGTATTTTGTTATGTTTTTTTTTTTGTTTTTCGTTAGTTTTGGAAAATGTATAAAATAAAAGTAGAATTGCCACAATCTATCACTGATTCATTTCATAGGGTTTGCATGCATTTCAAATATTAGTGGTCTTCTTCTTAGAGTTTGAGATGATGCAATTCTTTAATTAGTTTCTAGAAGAAAGGGTGGAAGGGCGTTCTGATCCTTGGCGGCATGGCTGGGATAATAAAAGACAAACCATTTGCATTTCAAATTCAATATGGACTTGATGAATGAATGAATCCAGCTTACGAATAGCAAGACCCTGGGCTTAGGGTGCGCTGGGATACCTGGTAAAGATGGGCCTGGTTMTGTGATGTGATTGCTGGAAAGGTTGCGCATCTAGAGAAGTTATGTTAGACATTTACACCTTTGGGGTCTCTGTGTTGTGATTTATTGATGTTTTTGATGAAATAAATAAGTGGGCGTTTTGAATTGAGTCGATCAGCAATGTACAGTAAAACTATACTGAATTTATTTGTGAACACTTTCTCAGAAAGAAAAATGGTAGCTAATAATCT